ATTTGTTATGTATGTGTAATTATCCAGGGTGAAAGTAAATGCCAGAGATTACCAGTGGGCACTACACCGGCGTTCTTGCCAAGGTGTGTGGTTTGGGCTTGTGGCCCCCAGAAGGGATGGGGGTCTCTGGCAGAAGGTGCAGTGCTGGGGGGGCCAGATTCCATCAGCCAGCCCTTCCTGACAGCTGCTGCTGCAGTGGCCAGGAGCACCAGGCCCTTGTAAATTGCAGGAACCCAGGGCCCCTTTTGCTCCCCCACTGTCGGCAGCCCTGCCAGGAGCATCCAACAGCATTGCCGGACCCTATGGCAGGGCTGCTGATGTGGGGGAGGGAGGAGCTAAAGGGGGCAGCGATGTTAAAACATAAAGCACTGCCACAGCGGAAGTGTAACGTCAGCTGTGTACGGGCCGGTACCAGTGGCCGGTTCTTACCGGTATGCTGAACCGGCCCACTTTCACCTCTGGTAATTATGATGTTTATTCTAAATATCAGTGTTGTTAGTTTGCAGAAACATATTTGCAGCACAAAGACATCAGTATGGTAGAAACAACACAAGAGGTTAATACTGCATTTAGAAGACATATAGCAATTCTTCTAATGAAGGAGGCAGGTAATTACTTTCTACCATGTACTGTGGACTCATTAGGCACATGTGAAGATAACATGAAGAGTGGAATTATGTCACATAGCAGACAGTTATCTTTATACCCCTAAAGTGGGATATCTCACAGGTTTGGTTCTGTAATGGTGACTATGAATCAATAATATCTTTAAGTACACAAACATTTGAATGGGGGTGAATGATTGCTATTGATCGACCAGTTAAATGAAATTGGCATTTTTAGATACAGGTGCAGTAAAGTAAAAATTTGAGAAAATATGACTCACAAAAAGGAAAAAGATATGTTCAAACCAATGTCTGGATTAAAATATTGACATTAATTAATAAATCAAGATTTGCATTTTCAGTGTTGGTTGTAACGTATTCATCATTTCATAATGCTATATTTATTTTTAAGAAAGCGTGGAGGACTATTGCATATACTGCAACCTTGTCAACTGTAAAAAGGAAAGTGAGGATAGCACGATGGTAAGAAACATAGAATTGTATGAGAAATAAATGCCATAAACTGCCTAAGGATCATGATTCTTGTAAAAATTCCACATCAGTAAACATTTTCTTCATGCTGATAGGCATACATATGTTAGGTAATGCTGACATGTGGAAGGAATAGCATGAGTGAATGTGTAACATTATAACTTCTGTGATTTCATTTCTTAATTGTTACTTATCAAAGGTTCAGTGTGATTCTTGCAAGAGGTGGGCACATATGCCCTGCATTACAGAAGGAACCAATCAAGAAAACCTGACAGATGAGAAGAAAGAGTACAACTGCAAAAAATGTGCATAGTGCACTCCTTTACAAAAAAAATTGTTTAAATGCTTCTTGTTCAAAACATAATGCAACCAAAAGACTTTTTAATGTATATACCAGATTATTATAATGTTTTTTATTTGAAAAAATTATTCTCTGTATTTGTGTCCACGTGTATAATGCAAATTATAAAAGTAAATTAAAAAAATGAAAGTGGTATCACCTTGGGCTCAGGAGCAGGCTCCGTACCCCCAAACCTTACCTCCCTTTTCACATATTCACACACAAAAAAGTGAAACAGCGCGCCTCAATCATCCAATAGATCAATTTGTCACATTACCCAGGAGGAAGCAGATCGTGAGTGTTTTTTACCACATACCCCATCCCTCCTGATTTGCAACCCCATGGACCAGGCGGTAGCAAGTCCTGAGCAGTAGTCCAGATGGTCAAGTTGCGTGACGGAAACTGCACCTAGTTGCAAAACAGGAGGGTTGCTATATGTGTTGTCATAGCTGTAGCGGGTACCAAACGCACCACCAGCCGCGTGCCCACGCCTCGCGGGGATTTCGGCGCCTCCCCAACACTGGAGCAATTAACCCACCGCCAGGACACCATGGGCCGCTTCTCGCCCCGCCCGGCATCTGAACCTCAGCAGCGGCTGCTGGCCCCCAGCCCGCAGGCCACCGGCTTCGACTCTCCCACGCAGGGCCGGCTTTAGGACTATTCCCTGGAATCGGGCCCCGCGCACTCACCCCGGCGGCGGTCGTCTTCGGGGGCCCCACTCCCCTGGCCAGAACTCTGGCCGGAGCGTGGCAGCACCATGGCCCCGCAACCCCGGCCAGACCGCGGCTGCCTCATGTCCCCATGACCCTGGCCGGAGCGCGGCAAGCCCCTTGGCCCCGCTCTTCTGGCTGGAGCTCTGGCCAGACTGCGGCAGCCCCACGACCCCAGCCGGAGCACAACAGTCCTGCTCTCCCGGCTGGAGCTCCAGCTGGAGCGCAGCAGCCCCACGGCCCTGCAACCCCCAACTGGCAATCCGAAGTGCCGCCCCAGGAATCAGGCCCCGCACTTGCTAAAGCCGCCCTGCTCCAAACGGCCAGGAGCTCACCATCTGGGCTCTAGCTTTTAATTCAAACCTTACAAGGCGAAGGGTTCCCACATCCCTAACAGGGTGCTTGGTGCCTGGAGCCCTGGGCTTGAGACACTCACATATTCAAGAGCTGTACTGTTGGACACATGGTAACTACAAGCATCAGGCTTTATAGCCACAAGCACTAAAAGGTGCTATCCTTGTAAATAACTTCTAAATAAATATATATATTTTAAAGAGGGGAGTATTTAGATGAAGATACACAAAAAACCTGATTACATGGAGCATGGGGCCTAAAGGCTTTGTTGGCATAAATTTAGGACAGCTGCATCATTCACTTGTCTTCAGCTCTTGGGTAGGGCATGTAACATCCCAAATGATATTCAGCCCAATAACGTCCTTTCATCACACCATCATCTATTCTAATTTCTCAATAACAGGGTCACAACCTCAATGCAAGCTGCACCTGGATGTTGCCCAAGATCTTCCCCACCTAAAAGGGCTTCAGCCTACTTGGTAATTGGCTTCCTCTAGGACTAGGGAAGCTCACTCCATCCCTTTTTATTGCTGTTCTGCCCTGCCTCCACTGCACCTTTTATATTCTCACCTGCACTATGCTCTCAACTTTGGAAAAGTGCTATTTAGAGTGGAGCTGGCTGCCAGGACCCACTGCTCACAGCTCCCTGCCAGCTACTTTGCCTTCTTCAAATGAAGTTTCTGCAGACATAAGGAAAGAGGTACAAGGAAATGCATCAAGGCTCCCTTCACTTCTTATCTTGCAACTCTTTTCATCATTTGGCATACTCATTACTCCTTATTCAGAAGCATTTATTTGCTATTAAATTTTTACAATATACTAATTAGAAATGTGTGACCACGAAAAGGTACAGGGTTGGAGTCAGGACAAGAAATGAGCTGGTTTGGGGATCAAGGGAAAAGAAAGATTGAAATACCTGTTCTATGAATGCACTGTTGAAAATAGCTTCTTTAATTTACAAAGATGTACTTCTACACAAACGAGTTGGATATATAATGATTTAAGAAATTAAAGGGGCACTGTTAATTTGAAAACTCTTTAATTTTAAAGACATTTAAAAAATTCAAATGCCACACCTGCTCTTAAATCTTCCTGCCAATTTTCTAGGATGGCAATCAGATTTTCCTATCTTCTAAAATATTCTTCTCCTCTATTGCTATATGAAGAGACCCACATGAACAAAACTAGGAACGGACTATACAGAGAAAAAGACTATACAAAGTGCTGTCAAATGTACAGGTAAACAAATTGAAAAAGTTAATATTTTTCTCTAATCCTGTCAAATTATACTAATTCAAGAAGTTGTGTTTCACACTAGTGGATTAAAAAGACAGAAACAATTACTTTTTATCTTCATGGCATTTTTAATTTTTTAAAATAATAAGTGAGAAGTAAGTCTAAATGGAAAGGATTGAGAATTGGTGTCTGATCTTATAGGAGCCATTTTTTCCCCCTCTGAGAGAAGCAGATCTTGAGGCACTGATTTTTATAACAATACTGTACTACTAGTAGTCTACCAAAAATATCTGTTTACTATAAGTAAGAATTTCCTGTTGCTTTTTAGTTATTTTTTTTTATTCTGCTGCTTCATTTACCCATTCTTGTAATCCAGACAGCATTCCAAATCCACATTTGTTACTAACTTTTCCCCTCTCTATAAAGTTCCATCTTAATTGCTAAATTTAAATTACAAAACCTAAATCAACACTATGCCACCTTGCTCTAAATCCAATGACCTATTAAAAAGACTGTAAATGCTGAAATTTTACTTTATTTTTAGCTAGCCCAATACAACATCATCTACAACCTTGAGCTCGTTTGATTTTTTTTTGTTAGCAATTGCAAATGGAGAACATTCTTTTAGTCTCATAATAAATCATGATGAACTGGTTTTAACAACTTTTTCCATTCACGGAGGTCAGACAGTCATGTGGTTCAGTATTATTTTATAGTTCACATCAGGAACAACCCTGTAATTGTAATAGGACTTTACAGACTTATTTGGACTTTTTAATGAAATTTCAACCTCCTTTTAAGTGTACAATACAGCACAGGTTTGTACTCAGAGCAAGCAAGAAAATTTTGAAGAATCTTTGGGTTTTTCAACATAACATTTGTGTTAAATATAAACATGAATGTAGGATAATGCCGATACTGATGATGACATTTTTTATGTAGGTAGTGTTCAAGATAATCCAGTACTGTAATGCTATTTTAACATGCATCATACCATTTGTTAATTTATTGAAAAAGCCATACTATGGTGATGGATAATATACAAAATTCTAAGACAGAAAAAGTCTGAAAAACAGATTAACACATTTAGAAATACAGAGAAATTCTGCATTCTGAATATCTACATAAGAGAGAGACAGAATGACTTGTTTTCATGTAAATTATGCCTTTTTAACTTCCGAGCTTCACTTCTTTCAGCATTGACTTACATTCTTGTTTATAATATTTTAAGAACTTTCACACAATGATTTAACACACCAGAAATACCATTTGTAATATACAGTTTATTAAAATATCTAGTCTCATTTAAATTAAAAGGTAGCTCAAACCAAATTATAATAGGTTCTTCAAAACAACCAAGAATTCACCATTTTGAGTCTACCTTTTTAGTAGAACACTGGGATGTAAAGGAGAAGTCCTACTCTCAGACACACGCGCGCTTGCTACCAATAGCCCTCACATTAATTAAATGTAGAGCCTGAACGATTACTTTTGATAATGCATGCTAGCAGCAACAACAACAACAAAAAAAAAAGATCTTTCCAACATTCCACAATTCATATAGTTTAAAATGGTAAAATATCACAGAAAAAAATTATAAATTTATGATTTCAAACATATTCAGCATAAATACAACATTTACAGTGCAATCTATACATTACTGATCTTCCATCATGGAGGAGATCAAAGTTTCAGACCAAAAGTCATACAGTATTGAAGAAGGCAAGTTACTGCTTCATTGCAGGAAGATGTTTCAGTCTGGGAAAAAAAGTCCATATTTAACAGTTATACACAACAACACCAGGAACATTTAATCACTTTAACAAGAATGAAAAGGTTTCTCAAACCCTCAATCTGAATTTAACCATAATGAGTTTTTGCCCTTTTAATAAAACAAAATTGGCAAATCTTCAGACAAGACAGGTCTGGCTGCAAATTTTGAGCTATCTGTTTGGAAGCCCCTTAAAAATTACCCTTAAAAAAAAAAGAGAGAGAGAGAAAATGTTATACAGAAAGAAAGCTTAATTTTTAGAAATAAATTTTTAAATTGCGCTCATCAGGTTTTTGTTTGCTTGTTTTTTAATGAACAAAGGACAGATGGGAATAGTCCTTTGGAATGCCTAGTTTTCCTATTTGTATTCCCTTGTCCCACTAAGGTCCTATACCACAATGAGTTTCCTACACCAAGGAAGACAATGTTGTTACTCTGCAGAACATGTTGAGGCCACTACTTCAATCAGCCAGAGGGGTTAACTGGAGTGTGATGCAGTGATTCCTCCACCCAGAGCATGCTTGGAGCTGAAGTTACTTATGTTTAATTTGGTTGGTTTTTTTAGAAGTGTATGGAACATACTTTGAAAACAGAATGAAGTCACAGTGTTCTCTTCTACTGTTCATGGGCTTAATACTGGTTTGTTCAAGTCCATGGTTTATAAAATGTTTAACAGCACACTGTCTAAAATTAGACCTACCACCTTCACTTCAGCTTGCTGAACAAATGCGCACTTGATTCAAACAGTTTCTCATTGTCTACTCAGTTCTGCCTGCCTGCTCCATATTTGTGAGCCAGCAGGGTACTGACTTACAGTAACCTTGTATTCAAGCACAGAATGATCTTACACGTCAATAACTTGCCATCTCACAAGAACAGAACCAGCAAGCAGTGAACAGTGTGATATTGACAAGCCCTGACTGAACCAAAATAAGCCCAACAACCTGGATCTGCTGGAGCTGGGTCATTCAGCTATGAAGAATTTTAGCCAGATTACAGCATTTATTTTGGATACTAAAAATCTATCCGGCAATACCCCATAGTTATCAGGGGAGGGATAAATTTTGTTAACCTTAACTATGTCTTCTGAACAAATGTAGTAGCAACACTTCTCACCATTTGCATTTCTCTTACCTACTCAGTATTTATTCCCATTTATAGTAATTTACAATGACACCAAGATCTCACCCAAATTAACTTTCATTATCTAGTCCTTGCAGAGTTAGCTGCTCAACGCTCTTTTCCCTGGAGCACTTTATCTTAAAACTAGTTCTTATCTGGCACATCTAGATCCAAAAGCCTAGGATAAATTATCTTTTCTGACTTGATTAGCAACATAAACTGTATTCTAGGCACAAACATATTGTACCAGATCCTGGTTGGTTTGAATTGGCGTAATTTAAATTGGCGTTTAAATTGGCGTAATTCTCCTGACTTCAGCAGAACTACACCAAGTTACACTAGCAAGAATCTGACTCATTATTGCTGCCAGATTTACAAAGATTTCAGTAAATTATCTATTTACCTTCTTAGAAGTTCCTGGGATGACAAACCTGTGATCTCCTCTATGTCACTAAGGCTGTCACTGCTATCAGCAGTCTCTGAGCTACTGTTTTTCTCTGATTTTTTATTCTTGTGTTTGCCTTTGTGCCTGTGCTTCTTATGTTTCTTTTTCTGTTAAAAAAATAAATAGTTGAGTTTGCTATTTGTGTATTAAGTTTTACAAAGAGAGTTGGTCAAATTAAAACAGAAGGTCACCAAAAAAGAGCAACTGGGATTACAGGAAACATATTTCAGTGTAAATTCCAGAGTTAACTGGAGCAGAGCAGTAACAACAGTACTTGCACATCTTCAGTTGTGTACACTTTAAATAATACAAGCTAAGGTCTTTAGGAGGCAAGGACCAAATAAATTAAATTAACATATATTTAGAAACTTCATTATTATATTGTATCAAGGTTTTCTACAGCTTTATGCAGTATCTAAGCAAACTATGCGTATGGTCCCTAAGCACAAAGAAGCAGCACCCTGTTCAGCCAATGTATCTTCTGTTCTAAGCTAGAAGTGCTAAGGGAGTCTAAGGGAGGGTGTCCACACAGCCCAACTCTATTTCTGTTTTCCATAATCTAGCATAGATCATGGTAGTTTTCACTTGGCTGAGGAAATCAGTCCAAAGAAAGGAAGAAAGAACCAATTTATTTAAGCTGGTCACCTTTTCCTTTTTGTGTTTGTGCTCTCTCTTAGCCTTGTGTTTTTCTTTGTTCTTTTTAGGTTTCTCTTTCTGATTGGCTTCAAGAGAACTTGCTAGTGGTACTGGCTCATGTTTCTGAATAGTCTCTAAAGCAAAAATCAAATATAGAGAAATAAAAGCATTACCATATAAAAGACAAACACAATATTAAACTACACAAAAATTTAAATTCCCTAATATTTGGGCTGAGATTTCCAAAGCTACATAAGGGATTTGGGACTCCCAATTCCTCATTTTAACTTCTCTACTCTATAGAAACACCTTTGTACTCAGATATTAAAAAAACAAAACAAAAAAAAACCACATCATGCCAACCTTGGCCCCGATTTTGCATCAGGATCTGTTAGCATTGACTCAAGTCTGTGCAGAGCCCCAATGAAATCAGTGGGAATCTTCACAGGCACAAAAGTCTGTGCTAGTGGATCCCAATGTAGGATCAAAGTTTTTGACAATATCACTTTAATGTACACAGGTGTATGTGGGGCTGGAGGGAAGAATGAAGGACCCCAGTGCTCTGATAGTTTCCAAGAAAGGGACCTGGATCTGAATTGAAATTATATGACATAAGAACACATAGAATATCTTTAATCTGTGCGCAAAATTTCCACAGATGAAGTAACAACGCCTTGCTATTCACGCTAAATCCGGGGACTACCAGGAAGTAATAAGACAATATTGGTTAGCATGATAGGCAGTGGTCTCAGCACACCTGACATCATGACAAAGGAGAGTTTTAAGAAGGGGATTTGAAGGTAGATAATGAAGTAACTTTGAAGATGTTTATGGGGAGCATAAATAAAATAACTGCATAAAATATACATTTTCAGTGTACAAAATTTAAAGTCTTCAGTACTTACTAGAAAAGAAAACTGGAGGCAACCTCGGTCCAAATTCTTCTTCCTTATCCAGCTCCTCCTTCAAAAGAGGTGGCACAAGGTCAGGCTCTTTTGTAACAGCCATGCATTCTAGAAAAACAAACATATAGGTTAACTTAAAAGGAAAAAGTACTTCCCATACCCAAGACAGCTGAGAAATATTCCATTAAAAATGAAATATCAAATAAATAGACAAGTTAATGAAT